CGGGAGACGTCCTTAATTTTCCACGAGAACGTTTAAGGGACATCCGCGGTTTCAGACGAAAAGGCCATCCAAGAAATGTTCTTTCGGTATGTCCCAGAGATGTCCCTAGTCCCATCAAGGGACAAGAATAGGGCATTCATTAGACATCTCTTGCATGCCCGTTTTCAAAGTGCATTACATATATAGTGTTTTTCAAGAAGTTGGCATCATATACAGGGTGTATCTAAATAACACCTAAAAAATTCAAGGGGTTCCTTGTGATATTTTAGGAAATAAAGTTTATATTCATTTTACTTGATTCTTTGGGATTTTCTCTCCTCATTTCTATGAAATAAAAGTATTCGTATTATTTCAATATATTTGTAGAGGGACAAATCAGATGATTTGCCCCAAAATGTCACTGCGTTTAACAAATTTTTCTACCAGGGAGTCTAGAAGAAAAGTCGAGTAGCTTGTCAGTGACAATTTGTTTGAAAAAATGTTTGAAGGAAAGAAACATAGATATATTGAAAAAATATCGAATTTTTACTTATCTTTGGACGTTTCGGGACCGATTCTGCTCCCGTTCTCAACATGTAAATGCAAATTATGTTTCTTTGAAAGTTGTGATGCGTACTAGTTCGACACTTTTCAGTGTCATACTGATGTTGGCATATGAATGAGTGATTTTTGTCTACAAATGAGTTACATGATGTTTTCATTAATTGATCTTGAATTTACCATTTTCATGTTCAGTTTTCAGTAGTGAATACCATGTTCTACCTATATCAACTTATCAATATGTCTTTTCTTGATATTGTACTTGTGTTCTTTAGTCCTTACTGAGAGAGGTCTTTTCGTTTCACCTGTATAATACTTTCCACAAATACAAGGTATACTATAAATACAATTTTTTGATGATTGTTCTTCATTTTTTGGCTTCGTTTGAGTTAGAATGGATCTGTATATGCATTGAAAAATCTATTAATAATGATATATTTCGTAATTCGACTTGGGCAAAGTTCTTTCAAAGATTATAGTATCAAAAATTATTTTCGCTACATGTCAATGGATACATTTTTTAAAAGTAATCGCTGAAAACAGGGTAACTTGTTTGAATATCAGGATTGTTCACCAATAACATTATTTATTCCTATTCTGATTTTCCATGAATATGTATCTCAAATTTGAATGTTCTATTTCTATTTCATTGAAGATTTTGGTATTATCTCAGTACTGGAAAAATTTATTCACATACATTACGCTTCTAAATGATAGACGATACCTTCATGGAATTTGCATTAGACACAAAATAAATCTGAAGCGGGGTTAATATTTTCTAAACAAAATCATATTTTTCCGATAATTAGTGAATGGAAGCATGTTTTCAAGTCGCATTTCAAAAATGAATTATTTTAAAAAAATGTTCCCATATGATTCAACTTTCTGGAAGACACTGTACAACCTATTCTGAAATTCACCTGACCTGATGCAAGACTCGAGGCAGTGCTCAAGGTAGACCCGTAGAGGCCGTGGACCTGAAAATTTCGACAATCGACACACTGCTATGAGGTTACATCATCCTAGACTCTAGTGTTCCTAACAGTTGTTGGTGTAGACCATAGACGAAGACAGACACAACAGCACAGGGCAGATGTTATTATCAATATCGCTTTTGGAATGTTTCAACCCCTCCCCCAGACGATCGAAGAAAACTTAGTGTTTCAACTAAAATTAACATTTAGATACACAAAATGATTCTTATTTCATTCAACGCGCATCTACACGGCAAAAGAGGAATTGTTGAATCAAGCAAAATTTAATTGAATGAAGCAAATATAAGTGTCATATTATATGCACGACAAAATAGAATCTTGAAATGAGTAAATCTATATCTTGTTTGAGAGCGAATTTGAAGTTTGAATCAAGTGAATATATATCTTGCATGAACTCAGGATCTTATTCAATCGAGCACGTCCATGAATTGTTCATCAAGAGATATTAAATCGGCTCAAACAATCATTTTGTTTGATTCAATATAACAAGATATTGATTCAATCAAATATTTATTCGATTCAATGAAATATTCGGTTGATTCAATGAATTATTTGGTTGATTCAATGAATTATTTCGTTGATTCAATGAAATATTTTGTTCATCTAATGAAATATTTCCTTGGTTCAAGACAAACAGTATTTCCATTCGACAAATTGTTTTGTTGAACCAAATTCAGTATTGATTCGGGAATTATCTGAAATTTCACAATAGAATAAACTAAACTAGGAAACTAGTCGACTTCTTGCATGTCTTCAATTCTCTTCAGCTGATTCAATACTAATTCGGCTCGCTAATCATCTTGAGTTCCATTTATCCAGCTGTTATTTCAAACATAGAATCAGGCTACACTTATATAATGAATTCGAGGCAGGCATAGACGAGGCGAAATGATCGCCATCTTGGGGTGAAAATTAAACTTGATCTTGATGTAGAATGAGCAATATATTTCATTGATACTACATATTTCGTTGCTCTATTCAAGCAAATGATCCGTTCGAATCGAGTTCATTGCTACATCGGAATAAGAAAACTTGTATGTTGTTTCAAATATATATTCTCATCAAAATTACCATTATTCCATCAAATTAACAAAAGATATTATACTTTTGATTCAATTAGACTACACTCTTGATTTGAACAAGATGCTTCCATGAAATAATCATGTATCTGTTTGATTCAATAAAAAATTGCTCAGTCCATCCTTCCTAAGTACGCACGATGTTCTCCGAACATCATAGGAATTTCCTTATGTACGCTCCAAAAGTAAAAAAAAATTAAAAGCTACATTTTCTTGATGATTTTTCGGAATAGTTCAGGAATACTTCTTGTATAAAATAATTTCTAAAACTCATTCAACACTGATAATGAAACAAAATAGGTATCTATATCTGATGATAATTTTCAAATATTGATCATTATTAGTGTTCGAAAAGTGTCTGTATAGGTTCCCTGGTGCTGGTACCAAAAGTAAGCCTATTATAGGGACTTGCTCTGTGCATGGAGAAGTGGTTATCTGTAAATATCAAGAATGAGCCAATTTACTATTTCCCGTTTCCCTTCCTAGTATTACCTGAGAATTTATACCTGAAAATATAGTATAACAACGGTATAACTTTATATTATAAGAGGCAAACAACAAACAGCAAACACCACTTTCTTCACCCTGGCTCGACACGACACACTAGTATGAGATTTCATCATTCTAAGAGCAAGGGGCAGAGGTAGCGTGTCAGATGGCGAAGGTATATATACGTACCTTTCTTCCAAAGAAGATCCATTCAAATACTGTCTGTAGGTTAATCGAAGAGGTGGTACAATCATTATTCCAGATTTTTAGTGATTTTCTCTCCTCGTCTCTATTAAATAAAAATATGAATATTATTTCGATATACGTGTAGTAAGGACTAATCAGATGATTTGCCCCAAAATGTCACTGCGTTTAAAGAATTTTCCTATCAGGAATCTGCTCACATTCTTCTGAACGGAGACAATAGCATTGCTTCCTGATGAAATATTTATTATTCCAAAATTCTATAATTTCCTGTCCAATCAAGTGGAGCAAACGCATAAAGTTCAATTGTAGTTGAAATGACCACTTTTCAAGATATTTGACCCGGAATGCATCGGCATTTTTCATTATTTTCAAGAGTTTAAAATCCAGCAAATGTTCTTTCTGCGTACAAAATATAACTATTTCTGTTCAGCTACAGAATGAAATTGAGAATTATACCTCTTAAACTCACCACACAACAATTTTTCTGTAATAATCTGCTATCGAAAATGATAGAAAATGCCAATGCAGAATTTCATTGTTCATAATCACTTTCTTGTCAGAAACTGAAAACCTAATTTAAAAATGCAAAAGTTACTGAGTTATTACGAAACAAATGCACATTTCTCAATTTAAACACCCTGTTTCTCGGGAACTATGAACTTGAAGACCCTTTGTCTATGCCTGGGTCGACATCAAATTACGAGGTCAAATTTGAAATTTGCCATAGTTGATATTATTATATCGGTTTTAAAATAGATTTTGAGAAATGGTGGACGAAGTTAAGGGTACCAGAATATGAGCAAATGAGCAAACCTCGATATTCTCACACGCTCTGCCTCATCAACTACCATTGGTAAGTACCACTACTGACTACTGGAAAGCATATTCTTAAAGAGCTTTCCAATGATGTATCACGAAAGAGGGTTACTATGTGGTTACCATTTAAATTTTCGTAGTAGTGGTTGATGAAATTGATGTTGAGCTGAGAGTCACAATAAGTTTAGGAGGTTCATTCGTATATTATATTTTGTTTGTGGGTGGACATCTGCACTGTAATTTATTATCTTGTAATTGTCGAAACCTTAGGGTTAAACCATGATGAAAATCTGGAGTACAAACAACTGCAATTCCTGAGATTTCCTTGGATTTCCTTGGAACTCCTTGAGCGAAATGCAGTATAATCCTGGTCTACAAATAGCTGGAATTTCTTACAATTCCTTGAAGTCCCTTAATTGAACATTTTCTGATTCCCTTGGATTTCCTTGTCGTTTCTTGGACTCCCTTGAGTTCCTTGGATTTCCTTGGGATACCTTGGATTTTCTTGGAATTCCTTGAGTGGAGTGCGGTATAATTCTGGTCTGGAAACAACTGGAATTCCTAGGTATTCCTTGATAGTTTGAAGTTTGGTGTACACAATTTTGACCGCGGTTTATCCCTCGTCGAAACCAGACTCATTATTGAGGTTATTCTTCAATGTTTCATTCTTATCAACCATGTTTATTTTTCTGCGAATGAGATACAGAAAATTGTACATTGTGAAACAAATTAAAATCATTCGAAATTGTATCAGAAAAACATTCAGTGTGTTATCAGTATGACAGCAGAAGAACAATATTACATCATCTTTTTTGGCTGGCGCTTGGGCGGGCGCATATCGCATATAAAACGATGAGATCTGTAGAATTCCGGCATTCTTGACTCTGCAGTCTTGGGTTCAAGTATTTCTTCATCTCGTATTTCTCGTGCTTTTCGTGCTCTTCGTTTCGGCTATATCGCCTTCATCTCTGTGGCTTATTGTTCTTCGTGTCTTTATCGATATTTTGTGTGAAAATGTCCGTGGGAATCGATTATTCGCATTTTATTAATGCTCGTTCTTCCAGAAGGAGACCTGCTTTAACCAGGGAAATAAGTAAGTTTCACCTCGATTCTGTACATATAGCGCCTCTAAAACTGATCTGCATGCATGTCGATGTTAGATTCACTCATTCAGAAGGGTATAGCTGTTTTTAAAAAATCCTTGCTGGCCGAACATTTCTGATTTGAATATTTGTTTATCTCAGATAAATATTCAGTTGTCACCAATGCACTTAATTCAATTCACTAACTTACAGGGCATGGGAGCTGCCAGGCTTTTTTTCAGGGGGGGTGCATCTGCGTCTACACACGAAATACTATTGACTGATTGAATATCAATTATAAATTCCTGATCAAGCACATTTTTGCATTAAATTCAACATTGAATATTTTGGCGATAAATGCACATATTCGGATGCGGTTTCCTTCATTTATAAAAGATAAAAGATATATCCACAAGGTGGCATTGAAATTAGTGCAAATATTTCAAACACTGAGAAAGCTCGACGTGTAGGTACTATATCGAATGGCACTAATAACAGAAAACTAGACATCAAAATAAAATTTGAGGTTAGACCCCTTTTTCCATCCAAAGTTCTACACTGTAGCAAATCTGATGTCACCTCTGTTCAAATTTCCATGAGGTAGGCACAATCATTTAAATTATTGTTTTAAAGTGTCGTACCTACTTGAAATTTTTCTCGTATTTTGTTCAATGTTCGTGATGGAATTTCTCGTTAATTAGAAGAATTAGGAAAAATCTGATATCATGGGAATATTCCTTAGATTGCATCATATTAATTTGTTGAATATGAGCACTTATTTCAAAAACATCTTGTATAAGACCGTTGATGAAGAAAGAAGATAAAACAGGGTTATACAAGGTGACAAAAAAACCTCTGCAAGATATTTAAGAAGTCTCCATGCTCCCAAATTGATGGAATATTTGCTGCGAATTTTCTCAATCCCTTTTTAATTTTGTATAGTGCTCAAGCGATAATGTGAGATTTCGTATCATATTTCGATGATTTTTTTTTTCTGAAATCTTGAAGAGATGAAGGATTATTTCAAATCGGGTATTCGAGCGCACGAAAGGAAATCACTATAATGTTCATGGAACATCGTGCGTACCTAGGGAGGAAAACCATTTCGATTAATATGCTTGAGCTTTATGAAAGTAACCCCGAATAATGTGAAATTTTCGCAAAAATATTCAATGATGAATTCAGTGCAAAGCAAATTTTTAATCTTTAATCTTCTCCTGAAGATGCTAACACAGTTAGCGAAACACGTGTCGAGGCGTTAAAAAATCGGTTTGGTTAGTGGTAAAACAGTGTAGTGTAGTATGGAGAGGAATAAATAATCACTATTATCATTGTTGATATGCTCACTAACCTAACATTTTCCACGTCTTGTTCCTATACCTGGCACTGGCGCGGTATTTGCCATTAGAGCACCTGGTCCATACACAAATATGTCACTCTGTGGTTGTATTTATATTGAAACTACAATTCGAAAATCCTTGAATACCTAACCTGCTGTTAATGCAGGTGGAATATTCCCACCACACGGATTATTAGTCAATATTTGTTGCATTGCATACATATGGCACGGCATTGGTGGTTACTTCACATATTTTTTTGAGTTGATTGTTTCGGTTGCAGAAAAAATAGCATGTTTCATTCGGATCAAAAGTGACTTCGACTCGCAAATTTTGCTTTCGCTCGGCTTCGCTAAACGCTCCGCCTCGCAAATGCAAAATTCGCTTGTCAAACAAAGTGTCACTTTTGATCCTAATAAAACAATCTACTATTAATACACGCGAAAAATCATAGATTTTAGCTAACGGTTTCTAGTCTCCCTCCGCTACGTGTCGGGAGACAACACAATCTCGAGCTCAAATCTACTTTTTTCCCTTGTATACAACGAATAACTTTTAGTACTTCACAGAATCATTGTATGCAGGTGGTTACCGATTATATAATATCATTATTATAATTATACCATACTAATATAATAAAAATAAAAATAAGTGTGGATTAGATTTTTCGTTACAGATATACGACCAACAATAAATAGCTATTTCTATTATATAGTATCACATTTCCCAGGAGTCAAGTTATTATTCGTTTCATGGAAGTGCTGACCCTTAATCTAAGCCGATCTTAGTTAGGATGACCACCGTTCAGTAACTTAGAAGTGTATATATAAGTGTATATACCTCTTGTTTGTTCCATAAAACTTCACCGGCTATACAAATAGGGTCTCATCAATATAGGTAGGTAGGAAATGAAATCACCCATCAGATCTTATGAGTAGGCTCTGATCATTATTTTTGTTCAATTTTCAACTGTGATTGTCAACGTTTTTTCAACAAAATCCAAAATTCAGTGAACAATTTTATTTCATTATTCTGGAGTAGTAACCCAAACTTGTTCAAAGTCGCGAATCGGTTCCTTCTCATTCTCAGGGCTCTGTACATTTTTCAAATAAGTACACAATTCTGATTGGTTCTTATATCGGAGAAACGTAATAGAATTATCAACAGTAATGCGACAAGTGATTGAATTTTTTGTTATAATTGAAGACCTTGGGGCAACAAGGATATAAAACTCAAGATGTTACTTTCGGGAAAATCGTATTCAAAGATTTTATTCAAATCCAGAAATCCTATATTTTAAATTTTGGATAAATAGGTTCCGAATAATGTTGAAGTATATTGTAAACAATGTATCAAACGAAAAATCCGACAAGGTTTGTCTGGTTTCAGTTCAATAAAAAATAACATTGAAAAATCACTCTTTATTTTTCCGAATATTGATCAAATGTCTGGATTTTTTTGTCTCCATCTTGTAGAAATTTTGTTTTTTGTGGTCGGCAATAGTCCTCTCGAAGTTGTAGGAATTCCATTGACCTTCCGTTGCACAGCAAATTGATTTGGTAGGAACTGATGAACATCTCGAGCTACAATGGTACAAGCCACACACACTGAAAATATATGTGTTGAACATAACAAATCGAAAAAAAAATTTTCTGATAATGTTGCTGGCGACATCCTCAACTACCTATGGTTTTCTCAGGATGTTAAAACTGAAACAACACTGGAAAATACACAAACCAATTCACAAAATATTAGCCACCCGTTCTTGGTCAAAGAGAGTACTGCTACATAACTGTTTTTATAGTGTAGATGAGTATATTATGTCCCTTTAGTTTGTAAGACCTATTGACGATTCCTATACAATATGAAATGTAATTGTCTAAAAAGGAAAATAAAGTTTATCTATCTACATGCCACACGGAAAAAAAGGATTTGTTGCATCAACAAATTATTCATGCTTGAGTTATTTTTGTTGGACTGAACAATTTTTTGTTGAATCAATCAGATACATGATTATTCCATGGAAGCAGCTTGTTCAAATCAAGAATGTAGGCTAATTGAATCAACAGTATAATATCAATTCCATCAACAAAATATATTATGATGGTTTCTTCAAAAACAAATTATGTCGATCCAAAATAATGTCGATGTTGATTCAACTATGCACATTCCGTTGATTTGATCAAACAATAATGATCATTTTGATGAGATTATATCTTTGAAACAACATACTAGTTTTCTTATTCCGATGTAGCAATAAACTCGTTTCGAACGGATCATTTGCTTTAATAGAGCAACGAAATTTGTAAAATCAATGAAATATTTTGTTCATTCTACATCAACTTAAATTTTCGCCTCTAGATGGCGATCATTTCACCTCGTCTATGCCTGCCTCGAATTCATTATATACGTGAAGACTGATACTGTTTGGATTTGAAATATCAGCTGGATAAATCGAAATTAGGATGATTAGCAATCCGAAATAGTTTTCCATCAGCTAAGGAGAAGTAAAGACTTGAGATCTATGCTGGGAGTCGACTAGTTTCCTAGTTTTGTTTATTCTATTGATGTGAAATTTCAGAAAATTTCCGAATATTGAATTTGGTTCAACAAAACAATTTGTCGAATGGATATATAGTTTCTCTTGAATCAACAAAATATTTAATTGCATTAACCAAATATTTAATTGAATCAACCAAATATTTTATTGAATCAACCAAATATTTTATTGAATCAACCAAATATTTTGTTGAATCAACTAAATATTTGATTGAATCAATATCTTGTTATATTGGATCAAACAAAATGATTGTTTGAGCCAATTCAATATCTCTTCATAAACAATTCATGGATGTGCTTGATCGAAGAAGATCCAGAGTTCATGCAAGACATATTTACTTGATTCAAACTTCAAATTCGCTCTGAAACAAGATATAGATTTACTCATTTCAAGATTATATTTTGTCGTGCATATAAGACACTTTTATTTGCTCCATTCAATCAAATTTTGCTTGATTCAACAATTCCTTTTTTTTCGTGCACATAAAATTTCAATTGACATTTTCTGAGTCATCTGATGAAGATCCGTCTAACTTTCACTTACTTCGTAATCTTTATCCTTTATACAATCGTCAGAACCGACATCATCGAATGATTTTTTGCCAGAAGAGTAAAAATACCTGTCTTGCGTTTGACACCGCTATCTCTGATGTCTGTCGTGTTGTTTTCGATGTGGTTTATATCATTGTCATTCTGAATATTCGCAGAAATTTCATAAAATCAAAAAGGTTAAGTTGGAATAATTATTGTGACATCTTTGGATGAATCGAATCAGTCTCAACTTGAAGACAGATTTCTGCATTCACAAAATGCCAAAATCTGCATTCCGAAGGGTGGCCTGAATCCTGGTTACTCCAAGGTCTTCAATTGCATGAGTGCATAAAAATTACCGTTAATTTTACGAGAAAGCCTGTGATCTAAAAACTGCAGGAATTTATTTCCATGTTTTGGCGAAAGAATCTGAGCCCGAAGGAGGATGGCTCCTTTGCAAAATATGAAAATAAACGAATGCAATTTGTCTGGATAACACGCTTGAATGCAAAATTATCTTGTTATTCGTTGGAGTATTTCACGAATAAAGAAATTTTCGATAGATGTATGCATGGAACACTCACCAGTACGCGAAATTTCATTCACTTTTTGAAATCTGACATTTATTCGTTCTGGCAGTGCAATCTTCGCTCTGCAGTGAAATTACCGCTGTTAGTTTTCGATAATTGCAATGTTCTTATGGGATATATTATACAGGGTGTTTCACAGGTGAAGGGAAATGGTAGATAGGGGTCACCAAGGTGGTTCTGAAAATGCCATTTTTGATAGGTCTTAGAGTTTTCATAACGGAGATACAGGGCGATTTATCGATTTCGAATCATTATTCATTCGTCTTTAAGTATTGAACTACCCAGTAAATTTTTCTAAAATTTGCTATGGAGCTTAAACTTGGGACGTTGAATGCATTCACCTATCGGGCGAAGTGGAAATCCAGGTTCGGCTCCAGGAAAAATTTACATTTATTCGAAATATTAAAATAACACACTGTATGTAATAATTGACAAAGTTCATCAAAGGAATCGTGAAGAGGAGGAAAAACTGAACTGGATTTGATGCTTTTCGTTTTCCCGCCACCAATTCTCATCGTAACAATCATAAACAGGAAGCTAAAAGTATGTCAATTTCAAGAGTATTAAAATTATGAAACCACTTTCAATTATGATTATTTGATATATTCTTGTTGAATGATCATTCGAAAGAACTCACTTAGTCTCGCAGTCTTCATAACAAAGATACAGGGTGAATTATCACTCGTCCATAAGTATTAAACTACCCATCGCAGTAATATTTTCTCAAATTTGGTATTGAGCTTACTTGGGACGATTGATTCATTGACCTATCAGGCAGAATGGAAATACAGGTTCAGCTCCAGGAAAAGTCTCATAGTCTTTATAACAGAGATACAGGGTGAATTATCGAATTATAATTCCGCCTGATAGGTTAATGAAACCATCGTCCCAAATAAGCTACATAACAGATTTGAGAAAATGTTACTGGGTAGTTTTATACTTATGGACGAGTGAATAATTATTCAAAACCGATAATTCACCCTGTATCTCCGTTATGAAAACTGTGAGACTTAGTAAGTTCTTCCGAGCGATTTTTTGACTAAAATATATCGAATAATCATAATTGACACTGGTTTCATAATTTCAATACTCTTCAAATTGACATACTTTCAGCTTTCTGTTTATGATTGTTACGATGAGAATTGGTGGCGGGAAAACAAAAAGCATCAAATCCAGTTCAGTTTTTCCTCTTCTTTACGATTCCTTTGATGAACTCTGTCAATTATTACATACAGTGTGTTATTTTAATATTTAAAAAAAAAGTAAATTTTTCTTGAAGCCGAACCTGGATTTTCTCTTCGCCCGATAGGTGAATGAATCCAACGTCCCAAGTTCAAGCTCCATACCAAATTTTAGAAAAATATACTGGGTAGTTCAATACTTATAGACGATTGAATAATTATTCGAAATCGATAAATCGCCCTGTATCTCCGTTATGAAAACTCTAAGACCTATCAAATATGGTCTTTTCAGAACCATCTTGGTGACCCCTATCTACCATTGAAATATTTCCCTTTACCTGTGAAACACCCTGTATATGGAGCAGCGTCTGAAATGTAGATTTTTTCATATTTTGGCGAATGTGCCAATTGTATTTTGGCGAATGTGCCAATTGCCGAATTGTTTTCTCGATAAGCTTTTCAGTTGAGATCAGGAATGAAAGACAGACTTATGGAAGAACGTTCAATGAACTGAAAACATTGACAATATTGACGCAGTGAAAAATTTTCGGGTGTTATTTCAATCGAGTGGATTTCAGAATTAACTAGAATTGAATCAACATTTGATTAGCTATATTGAATCAATATTATTAGAAATTTGATAATACTGTGTACAGTAGTGATGTCAATTCACACCTTCATAGTGAAAAATCACACGAATGTGGTAACTTAGATGGGTTCTGAAATATCCATTCAAAAGAAACAGCAAAAGGATGGAAAGTAACTACTTTCGAGTGCTATTATTCAAGTTAACGCAAAAATACACCTATTATATTAAATCAACACCGAGTTACATTTTGACCAATGACGAATAAATCAGAACCGTGTATGAATCATGAGATTTGGGGCTGATATGATTCACTCATCGTCTTACATTCTCCCATGTGAATTGAAGAATGGATAAAATTGTGAAGGTATATCATTATCCACGAATTCTGGTATCCAATTGAGAAAATGTGAAAATGTCCTATACCGTAGCGACAACTACATGAACCTTAACATTTTTCATGTTCCTCTCAGTGTCAAGCATGGACTGTCAAATTTGTAAATCTCTCATATGTTGCAACTCGAGGTTGAAACATTATCAATAAAGATATTTATTAAGTATGATAATCATCTACCAATACTCAAATGGAAGCAAAGAGTTGTTTACGCAGTGCTATATATCAGAGAGTTGAAGGAATCACTTTGTGTATCCCTCCACGTAGACGTTAACGTACGAAAAATAACGTTTTTCTGCAACCGACACAAAAGTCGTCCATTTCGATACCAAAATTAGCTCTTAAATTGACGTTTCTATTACTGACACAAAAGTAGGTATGTTGCTAGGCAACATATTTAGGTCCTAAGAGCTAAAGTTGAATTTTAGTTCCTAGGAGCTAAAGTTGAACTTTACCTCCTAGGAACTAAAAAGGATGTACTGGACGTCATCAAGAATAAACAACATTGTGACGGTTAGTTATTTGGGTTGAGACGCATTCCTGATTTGTTTCCGATTTCAGCAGATTTGGCATTTCATACCCATGCTGGAGATATAAATACACTTTATTATAGTTTAGTATTGGAATTATAAACATCTCAGTTAAGTATTTCTGGTATCATCAGGAAAGCCTTCAAGATTCAAATACTTGCTTGATCTGTATCTCATTCGTTATTCTCGGGATGGATAACTTGTTTTTGAATAATCACGGCAAGCAATAGTTTTTTTGTCTCAAACAAAGCTATTGTTTAGCTTCATTTGATTATCAAGTCAAACACAGTGTAGTATGGAGAGTAATAAATAATCACTATTATCATTGTTGATATGCTCACTAACCTAACATTTTCCACGTCTTGTTCCTATAGCTGGCACTGGAGCGGTATTTGCCATTAGAGCACCTGGTCCATAGAAAAATATGTCACTCTGTGGTTGTATTTATATTGAAACTACAATTCGAACTTCCTTGAAAACCTAACCTGCTGTTGATGCAGGTAGAATATTCTCACCACACGGATTATTTGTCAATATTTGTTGCATTGCATACATATGGCACGGCAAAGGTGGTTACATCACATATTTATTTGAATTAATTGTTTCGGTTGCAGAAAAAATAGCATGTTTCATTCGGATCAAAAGTGACTTTGTTCGACTCGCAAATTTTGCTTTCGCTCGGCTTCGCTAAACGCTCCGCCTCGCAAAAGCAAAATTCGCTTGTCAAACAAAGTGTCACTTTTGATCCTGATAAAACAATCTACTATTACGTATTGTCTTCAAATTGAGTTGAAGTTGGTGGCCACTGTCATCGTAACGTGATAATACTTTTGTTTTCGGTTTGTATTGGTCATTTTTGGTTGTTTGTTGAGATCTGAATATTTATTCCTCTTCAAATGAGAGGACTCCTTAAAGCAGAACTCCCTCTGGCCTCTGGTTCTGATAATTTCTGAATCTGATAATTTCTGACACATCGGTATTTGTCGAGTATAGTTTGGTTAACGTACGTTGATATTTAAGGTATTCATGAAAGTACGTGAGATAACGTACACCTGTAAGTCCACTACCAACGCAAACGTGAAGAATTTAAAAATGCGCATGCGTAGCTGTCTATTTCTACGTTTACGTTAACGTTCATATCAACACTGTAACTCTCTATTAGCTCGATTTATGATGCTATATTTGAATTTGTGCAGGAACTGCGGCAAACCTCGGCTTGAACTCGTCAGTGTGGTGATAAATAATCGTTACTCTTTGAACTTTTTTGACATGCAAGCCAAGCAAACAAGTAGTGATGGCTGATTGTTTTTCTCCATATTTTTGATAAGTTATGGACTTTCGTTATTCCAAAAATTATAATATACAATCATGCTCACAAACTTCAAATGTTCTCATTCCTGAAATATCAATGAATTTTCGAACATTGAACACTTTTTTCGTTTCAGCTAAACGTCAATATGGCGTCAAGGATCTCATCTCGCTGGCCGAAGGCGTGCCTAATGACAGCACCTTCCCCTTCGCGTCTATCACGGTCAACCTCAAGGACGGCTCGTCCTTCGACATAGAAGGGCAGCAGCTGACCTCGGCACTGCAGTACATCCCCACCCAGGGCTACCCGCCGCTGGTCAAGTCGGCCAAGAACTTCACCAGGTGAACTAAACTTTCTCTACTTCTATCCTTGCTTTCAATATCTCTGCTTGACTATGATCGTGTCAAGTTAATTGTCTGACTGTGATAGTCAACCCAACATGTTCCAACCACTCCAACCACTAGCATAACCGATTCTGTACCTGATGAGAGCCAAACTGTATTAACTCACAAAGATCAAATTTAACAGCAGAGCAATTTGAAACTTATAATGTTTTCAATAACTATGAAAGGAACGAATAAGTTCAATAATAAAATGTGGATGTTCTCAAATTTTCCCTTTCCTAATTTTCAGAAATTTCCATCAATTTTGCCAAAAAAATATCGAAAAGTCAATTTGATGGTTTTAATACCATTTGGCCCTAATACTTCGATGAAAAACCGTATTGAATAATTCTTTAAAAATGAAAATGGAGTTAATATGGGCAATAATATACCGTGAATGTATTCTGAAAATATTCATTTTTGATTTTTAGTCAAAAAAATTTTTATAAAAACTGTGAAAAATGCTTGAAATCCAGGGCAGTAAAGACTGTAGGTGGTTATATAGTTCTTGATCGACATTTCATTTGCTTGCTCACGAATTTGAGATAAAAACTCAGGAAAACCAACACACCAGCCATTTCTTTCAAGATCGACACATTCAAACGTGTTTGCAAAGAATATGTGTTTGCCTCAAAATGTGATTTGAAATATACAACAATACACATTACACCTATATTTTCACTGCGGGCTTGTTGGAGAACCAAGTTTGACATACGAAAATCTTCACTTTCCTCAGTTCTCTTACGTACAACAAAGGGTGAGCTATTAGAAGTGTACGAAGATTTCAAATCTCCAAAATCGGGTGCTTCCATATTAGCAACATTAAAAGTTTTTGACCGAAGCACAGCCTTGCGAGTTCCCAGGGCGTCATCGCTTTCAAAAATGGGGTTCGTTTTCGTTTGCGTATATGACCACATAAATAAAATTTTTGATCAATCTTTTTTATATTTGGATACTGTTTCAAGATCCAAAAATATGCCACTATCATGAAAAAGCGAGTGTCGTTTAGTAGGAAGAAACTTGATACAGATTTGAGAAAAAATTGAGTTAAAACAGTTTGGCTCTCAGGTACAGGATTGTGTCTAATGCGTTTAGTTAATAATACTGATATTATCCTGACAATTGGCATTCCTTATTGCACTGTCAGAACCTCTGTGTCTTGTCAGTTTGAGTTTCATTATAACGTTATGATTGTTGTTTCCACGATGATTGGAGAAGCATTAACTTCTTTCTCATTCTGTTGTTTTTAAATTTGAAAATTATAAATTCATAATGATATGACAAATGTCAACATAGAATCAGTTTATAAGAAAATAATTTGAAGAATCTCTGATCAGGCTAACCACGAGCACAGCAGATTATTCCTATACGCAGTTCGGAATACACGTTTTTGATAGGACTGTAATAAAAAACACTGTGTTGTCGTTTTTGTATTTTGGCAGTTTGGGCAGTTCAATCAAAAATGAATCAAAATGACCCACCAACAGCTGGCTGTCAAAGATGTCATAATATTTTCATATGCGGGAATGAGTATCACTCAACCAAAACTCATAAGGATACCGCTAACCATGGTGGAATTAGTATGGTGTGCTACGACGCATCTTCGTATACGTCACCGCGAGCGTTCCGCGAGTAAAACAGTTGCTCGCAGTCTGAGCTCACAGTTATCAGTTCGCCCGAGTCGTCATGATCAATTTGGTGCGATTATAGACTCGCATTGACGTTTTGCGCAGAAAAGGCGAATTCAAGATACCTGAGTACATAGCACACCATATATACTTCCACCATGCCGCTAACCATGATATTATTTCCAACGATGACATGACAGTTGACAAGCTACTTTGGCAATTCAAAATTCTCTCAAGTATATCGTTAGTTGCATAGCGCAAAAGCCGAAAATGAGAGTACGGTTTCAAATTATTATATTATTCATGGAATAACGAGTGAAAATAATCGTAACAAAAATAAATTTCATTGAGGATTCATGGAAGAATCCTTCTCTTTCTCGAAATAAATTATTTTTGGGAACTATACACTCGTGTAGTGATTCACACGAGACCAACGAGACGAGACTTTGATAAAGTCTCGTCTCGTCTCGCCGATGAAATATGATGTCTTGTCTCGAGTCTCGTCTCGCAGCCCCGAGTCTCGTCTTGTCTTGCGTCTCGTACGAGAGTCTCGCAAAAGTATCGCAATTTCGTCATGCATAATCTTGTTCCAGTCTAGTACGGGATATTCACCTTAGCCTGCTTTTTAGGTATAATGTAGAAGTAGGAAGAGAAAATTACAACAAAAATAACATTATTTATGGAAAAGTAAGTACCTAATAGGTACATATACTTACATCATACATCTAAACAAGAAAAAAAAAACATAGCATTATATATTCGAAAGCTATAAATATAAAATAAAAAGTAACACGTATATTCTAAACAAATAAATAAAACAAAAACTTGAATCCAACATCATTTTACTTATTTGAGAAATAGGTATCTGAGAAAATAGTTATTTGTTTTACTAGGCAGAAAAGTAGTTAATCTAGATTTTCTGCCGTGTGAAACATAGAATTTTATTTCCAAATGATATAAAACCAATTTTGTGTAATTTTTTTATTGAAAACTCCATCATTTTGTGTTCACCATATGTCAATGTCAATTTTGATTACAAATTCCATTAGAATTTCTTGGAACGTTGCATAGCAACAAACTTTACCTGCCTGAGCAGTAGAAGTACACCTTTTCTTCCTGTTAAGCGGCAGGAAAAAACACCATCCTGCTGCTTGAAGAAAAAAACCTATATCAGGCAGATCAGCCTTCACGATCGCAAATGTTTTTGTTTTCCACCCAGTCGTTAGGACATAACAAACATCGTGCAGATGGCGATTCCGATGTTTACTTATCGAATTCTTCCTAAATATGTTTTATTATGAATGAAATTCTCAAGTCTCAAGTCGCACGAGACACGAGAAGTCTTGCACGAGACTCGAGACGAGACCAATGGAAGTCTCGTCTCGTCTTGTCCGAGTCTCGTCTCGAGTCTTGTCTCGAAAACGAGACGAGACCATGCGAGACTCTCGAAAACGAGACTCTCGCGGGCACCACTACACTCGTGCTATGAAGAATTGGGAACTCCTGGTCATCTTCAAACGTGCGGTTGGCCACAAAGATATCAAATGTCGAATGTGAATAAAATCGGCGTCACCATCATGGTTGTAAGAATGGAATATTCCATAATATCCAATGTTTTCTTTCCACGACATATTATGACGTTCCATAGTTCAGTAATCAGCACATCATTGAAACAAATATTCAATCATTTTTGGAAACTTGCAACGTGCATTACCAACTCCTCATTGTTCCTCGTATTATTCGAAATCGTGCAGATAATTTCAAGCTTTTCAATTTATTCAATTCACTAGAACCATCCATAACCCTCCAAACTGGGAGAACTACGAGACACTCATCACCAACGGATCGCAGGACGGAATGAGTAAGGTTCTGGAGATGATCTTGGATGATGAAGACAGCATTATGGTACAAGAGCCGTACTATGCTGGGACTGACGCAATTGTAAGTATGAGCATTAGTATTGAGCGATGGCCAATCAAACCTGAAGTGAGACTATATGTCCATATCTCGTCTACGAATAATCTGCTTTATCAGATATTATAAGACCGTTCGTGAATCGATTGTAAGGTGGTTTATATCTTTTTATGTTGTATTGCAGAAAGCGTCAGTTTAATTTCAGAATAGTAACATGAATTTCAGAAAGCATCAATTGTATTTCAGAATAGTAACTTGAATTTCAGAAAACACAAATTGTATTTCAGAATAGTCAATTGAATTTCAGAAAGTGTCATTTGTATTTCAGAAAGCCTCAATTGAATTTCCATAAGCATCAATTGTATTTCAGAATAGTCATTTGAGTTTGACTAAACGTTCTCTAGGGAAAATGCATTGCTAACATGATACGAGTTGCAACTTTATGGACGCACTATATAGCTAAAAAAATAAATGTTTGTGAATGTTTTTGCCATGTGAAAAAATCAACTGATTGGGTTTCATTAACTAATGGAATGTCTGTGATCTGTTCATCAAAGAGTACCTAAAAAAAGGAATATGGGATGTTTCATTTGAAAATATCACTTCACATAGCTCTTGGTAGCACTGAACACCCTTTACATTCTTACATGCAATACACTTTCTACTAGAAATATTTGATACTTTTGAAAAGCCTCCTAGTGCTAAAACAACTGCATCTGCCTATATAGATTGATTTTGAAGGTATAACAGTTTGCCCCACTTCAAATATCCCTCCTCTTCATCTAGTTATTAGTTACAATCCGAGAAATAGTAGATAGTGAATACAATACCGATCGTTTAGCGTCACTACATTCATCGAATAATACCACAACAAAATTGTATCATACTATTTTGTTGTGTAAATATTTGATATATTTAGTATAGTACTATACAATTTTGTAGTGGTAGTATTTGATTTTGGTTCTTTCTAACGACTATTTGTTTCAGTGTATATGTGATTATTGACAACTCCTTTGTTCGAATCTTGTCATAGAATCAATATCATTAATAATCAGTGTATACCTTCCAGCTGAAACCATACAATATCAACGTGATCGGTGTAGAGCAAGACCAGTTCGGCATAGTCCCGAAAAAACTTATCGAATCCTTGGAGAACTGCCAAAAATACACGGAAGAAGGTGGAGGGAGTATGCCAAAAGTCATTTACCTGAATCCAACAGGTAAGAAAAATCAATAGTTGTGAATTATCTGTTCAGGGTTGATACCGTGAACGCTCGCAATACTATTGATAGTAATTCTGTCAGAAATCAACGAGACTCAATTGCTTGGTATCTCTAAGCAAGTAACTGCAGTTCAGAGTTTTCGACAGAATTCTCCATATTATTGGTAGTACAATAAATTGTATTTATTGAGACAATTACACAACTAATTTGAAACTGTCATCTACATCATGTTCCTAGTTATAGCACAGATTGATCCTAGAGATATTAGAAGTCATCACATTCACGCCAATATTGGCAATACCAATGATGTTGTCTTAAGATTCGCATTGTTACCTAGCGAAACATGAATGTAACATCCCAGGGATGTTTGTGTTTACTAGGGTTATACTAGGTGACAAGATGTTCTTATTAGATTCGTGGATGCCGTGACGACGTGGTCTAACCGGCTCAAAAGAAAGAAGCAGCGTACTATCGAGGTACACCATTCTGATTAGTTATTCGATCGCAGGAGATGACAGTTACATTTATGTCGTGGAATTGTCTCGAATACAAATAATCTCAAAGTTCATATAATCCTTGAGATTGTCAAAACACTCTGAGACTGAATAGTAACAGGATGAACGAATTTCTGTTTCACCCCTCTGCGGGTGCATATACCAAGTTATCACAACTTAAGGAAGATGACTTGAAAAATACTCTCAGAAAGTGTTACTGTGCTTCTTTTTCTTGCTATGTCAGTATCCTCCAACGTGCCTTTACAGCAATTCATCTGAAAACAAATTCCCTGTCAGAACTTAATTTTTCGTTTTATTGTAATCAAAGCTTGTTATAAGCACTTTAAAGATCTTGCCAGTCGTATGCTCACTCTATAGGTGCATGTTCTGTTCCTAAATGAAAGGTGTTAGATCGATTGATTTTCCTCTTCCATTTCAAAATATATTATCATTTCATAGTAGTCCCACTCCACTAGTTTTGGCTTTGGTCAGAAGTTTAGTTTTTCCTGGCATACCCATACGATCTTGAATTTGATAAAATCAAAGCAGTTTGATGGTTGCTTTTCTATTAGACATAAGAACCCTTCATCAACTTTGACTATCGAAAACTATACAGGGTGTTTCATGAGAAGACTCACATAGCCAAATGGTTAATTGGGGAAATCGAGACGAGTTGATGTATGTATATGAAAACATTTTTTGACCCTCCATAACGAAGATACAGGGTATTATGTGAAATTGCTATATAACTTTGATAGCCGATATTACAGAAATGATTCATCGTAATCTGCTGAAATTTGGCAGCTACGTATCTCTACTGAAACTATTCAAAATAACATATTATGAAAAAAATATCCAGGTCCGGACTTGGGAGAATTTTATGTTTCATTGTTACGTCATGAAAGTTCACTTTGTGATCACTTTTCTCGAAACATTTCATCAGATTCAGAAAGATCAGACAACATTCCATAGGAACTGCTCTTCAATTTGCACGGCACACTTTGACCAATTCAATGAAAAAATATGAAACAAAAACGTTCGTATGAATTTTCACTTTCGACCTGGCTGATAACTCCCAACTTTTAACTGGATTCGTGTAAATTGATTTTTTTGTACATTTTCATTGGATAGAAATTGACAGAACAGAGTAGTTCTGATTTTTTTCATGATTTGACATGTTAGTTTTTGACCGAACTTCTAGATAGATATGATTACTCCTGACTCTATTTTATAAATTTGTTATGAAGTAGGCACTGTTTTTATTTTATGTAACGTGGCGTTTGTTGATAGGTTAACACTGGTGATCGAAATATTCTTGAACTCTAGGTGCCACTTCATATTCCAAATGCTGAACAAGACAAAAATCCAAATGCTATGCTATGTTTAATACCATAGAATATTTCCAGACCCAACAATACGTTGCGTTAAAACCTTCACGGGGATGAACATTAGGAACTTTGAATAAATAGCTAATGCATCCTTATATCACTTGCAGAAGTGTATCAATAACAAAAAATGGAGCTAAGTTTATGAGTGATGGCATAACTAATTTGATAAATCACCATAATATGGGCACATGAATCCTCATTTCGTAATTTCATCAGTTGGTACCTACCTATAGTACTAGCCTAGTACCTATACCTATCAGTTCGGATTATCAACAAACGTCACGTCTTGTCACACAAATGGAAAACAGGGCCTACTAGATATCTTATCATTACTTCAAGCGATACCCTTAAAACAAAGTCAATATCTATCTGGAATTCCGATAAAAGAATCGTGTTTTTTCTTCTCGTCTATCTTTCTATCAAATAATATTCAACAAAAATGTAGAAAAAATCGATTCACATGATACCAGTTGAAAGTTGACAGTTATCAGCCAGGTCGAAATTTAAAATTCATTGGAACGATTTTGTTCCATATTTATTTATTGAACCGGTCGAAGTGTGCCGTGTAAATTGAAGAGCATTTCTAATAGCAGTTTGTCTGATCTTTCGGAATCTGATGGAATTTTTCGAGAAAAGTGATCACAAAGTGAACTTTTTTGACATAACATTGAACCGTGAGATTTTCCCAAGTCCGGACCTGGATATTTCTTCTCATAATATATTATCTTGAATAGTTTCAGTAGAGATACATCGCTGCCGAATTTCAGCAGATTACGATGAATCATTTCTGTAATATAGGCCATCAAAGTTATATAGCAATTTCACATAATACCCTGTATCTCCATTATGGAGGGTCAAAAAATGTTTTCATATATATACATCAACTCGTCTTGATTTCCCCTATTAACCATTTGGCTATGTGAGTCTTCTCATGAAACACCCTGTATATGTAGGTATGTTTCTTGAATGAGTTTTTTTTTATAGCTTCGAATCCATCTGGCAGAACGATCCCGACGGAAAGAAAAAAGGAGATCTACAAAATCTGCTGTGACTACAATATCCTTATCTTGGAAGACGATGCCTACTATTTTGTGCACTTTCTAGAGGAACGCCCAATGTCTTTTCTGAGCATGGATACCCAAGGGAGAGTGATAAGGCTGGACTCCATGTCGAAGGTTCTCAGTTCCGGACTGAGACTGGGCTTCCTGACTGGACCTAAGAGATTGGTCCAGAATATCGAGCTGCATATTTCCAGTGATATTCTGCACTCCAGCGTCCTCTCGCAGGTAATGATAACCCAATAATCGAATTGAAATTACTACTCGGTAATGAAGTGGTCAAACGGGTACACCGAAGAGTTTGCACGAGAAGTAGGTTTTTGGAAATTACCTTTATGATATCCACATCGATGAATTCGAAAAAAGTAACTGAATTCCACGAATTCCTAATATCAGAACATTTCTGATGATTCGGTTGATGTAAAAAAATGACAATTAAAACCAGTGTGTGCTTTTTTATCTAACCATCACTTTTTTATTCAAAATCGTATGACAAATTGCAGAAATACAGCATCTTTCATAAAAGAGCTTACCTGCATCAACATTATCAAAAACGCATCATATGATATATATGTGTGATAATATACGATGGCCTAATTCTAACTCATATCTCACAATTTTCTATTTATTCCTGTAAGCTCACTTCCTTTGTATCGATAAAAATATCTCATTTTATTTCAAATTTGATCATATATGTATATAATCATTGGTCAATACTGGTCAAAACAAATTAACGTAAACCACGGTATTAGTCAATGGTGGGAGTGGTGCAACACGTTCATTTGACTCTCCTTTCGGATAGTTTATCGAGAGAATAGTGAACCAGATAGGAATCATTCAATATTTCTTAATGAATATACATAGAAATTGTCATTTTCATATATATAGAAGTCTTCTGAATCAAGTTAGGTTCAATGAATCGACGATATTTCCCATTTTTATAGGTGACTCTTATACCAACTCAACAGGAATTAAAATGTACTTATTCCATTTAATATGAAGATTCAAGATGACGTTATTAGAAATAAGTGTGGAGTAATATATCTTAACCAACTTACATAGCAGAAGTATTATTGATCGTTATGAAAAATCTATGGACCGCAATGAACCAGAATACCGTTCCGATTCGTGAAAAAATCTTGAAATAATCCAGCTCTTGATAAAACATCTTAATCCCTTCGAGTTTGTGGAAATTGTGTCCCAAAGAAGTTCATAATCGAATCTGTTTGGAGACAATGAATAAAGAAGACATTCTCTTCATCATTTATTCCTAATCCAATGTTCTCTCTGGCTCAGTTATGCAGTTTCTCCCGTTTTTTGTATCTGAAAATATATGATTGCCTTTCCTCATTTTTTATAGCTTTTGAAATGTGTTGGAATGTGGGGCCATTCGAAACTTTCGAAACTTCTCATTTTTAATTTAATATTGATCATTCAATCTCAAACGAAAACCAATTCAAATGTTCTTTTCCCCCATTTTCGAAATCAGTTCATCCTGTCCCTAGCTATAGTCAAATATTTCCTACACATGCATAGTTTCATTTGAATGATTCGTTGTTGAATTTTAATTTTATTTTTAGACGCTCCTAACAGAAAAGAATACTTTTTTCCCGCAACTCCTCCGTCTGATGTCTTATTTAAATAGTTATTCTGCATGTTGTATGATCGAAGGTTATCAATGACTATCTGCAAGATAAAAACTAAATTTTTTTGCCATTTTGCTGGTAATAGTGGTGATGATGATTGTTGTTACATGAATTTGCCCAAAATATCATATCCAAGTATCAATAACATCATTTGTAGCATGGAATAACAAACAAATCTGTATTAGTTGTGGTTGCTATGGTTTCAGCATATTTTAACGTCATTCAACAAATTTCACAACTCACAATGTTTATGTAGAAATTATCAGCAAGACATACTTAACAGCATTAAATATTATTATTGATTATGATGAGTATTATCTGGAATACACAAATACGATTTACGTAGGTATAGAAAGAGTTCATAATAACACATGATTACAGATTTAATAATTCTTATCACATAATTTCATTTTCATCGAAAAAATTCGTTTATTGTCTATACATTTTTATCGCCGCACTATACCCTGTCTGAATGAAATACATATGTAAACAAATCAATGATAGATTAGGTATTCGTAATACTCATCTATCAATAATTAAATGATTGATATTGATATCCATGATGATAACCCTATACCGGGTGACACAGACTCATGATGGTTCACCTCATTTTTTTCTTCATTTTTCTATAGCTATATTTTTGAAATTTGAAACATCAAATATGCTAATCTATCTAATTCTGTCGAATTTGAGTTTGTAGTAGTTGAATATACTTATATCAGAATGCAGTGTATGTTGTAAAACATTTCATATATCAAAACATCTTGTTCGAAATCTCCTGAATACAAAATTATTTCAAGGAAGCTTCATCTTATCGCCCTTCATAAAAGATAAAAAATATCGCTGCCAAACGGGACGATCTCAAATCATCAAAACATCACATTTTCAGATATCAAATTGTAGGTCATCATTTCAAAACGATAGAATGAAAAAAATACCTGTACTGATGTTGAACTCAAGGAAATGAGTTATTAGTATCTTGAAAGACATTGGAAATTGAATGATCCAACCCATATAACTATGGTTCGAAAATGAAAGAAATATATGCTCGTCTAACTTCAAATTTGAGTCAGTTCAGATGAAGACAATCCACAGTGATGAGTTATTCATTCAGATATTTAACATTCCAGGTGATTCTGGAAAAACTCTTCGAAAAATGGGAAATCAGCGGCTTCCTAGCCTACTTCGAAGAAGTCAAAGCCTTCTACAAAACTCGCCGCGACTACACCCTGGCCTGCATGGAGAAACATCTGAAAGGCCTCTGCGAATGGGAGTCTCCCACAGGAGGCATGTTCATCTGGTTCAAGGTCCTTGGAGTCTCTGACGTCTACGAGATGCTTCTAGTCAGAGGGATCAAGAAGCATATCACCTTCATTCCTGGCCAGAACTACATGGCTGATCCCACCAAGGCCTGCAACTTCGTGAGGGCTTCCTACAGCAAGGCCAGCTTGAAGCAGATCGACAAGGCCATGCAGCTGCTGGCAGAGCTGATACGAGAGGAGCAAGTATTGTTGCGAAGGAAACTGGACAGTATAGATGATGATATTATAATCAAGTAGTAGTTAGCCTGCGTAAAAGCCAGGAAAAACACCATGAACGCTGGAAAGCTCATCGTTGAATGACGCTATCTGCAAAATGAATCGTTCTTGATTCCACAAACAAACACATACTCATATCCATCTTATATCTGACAGTATTTTTGGATTTATGGAAGGAGTTATGATGAAGACTAAGCTCAAACTCAAACTCACCTATTCAAATGGGGCAGTGAAGTTGTTTTGGGGTAGCATATCCTTTCATGAGAAGCGGGTCTGGTATATGAATACATTTTATATTATTTTCAATCTCATATTCTGAGATTTGCACAATTACATTCACGTACAATCTTTTGCTTGAAAATACAAATGATAGTTCTCCTACCTAAGAATAATCGAACATCAAAATTATTAGTTTGTCATTATGAAAATATACATCATGTAGAGGTGGTGGTAGTAAAAGACTGCAAAGGAAGATGTTTTTCCACAATTGTATGTCAATATTTGGAAATCTATTTTTTTTTTCAATTCACTAATAGACACTGTCATAAGATGTGTAGTATGATAGTTTGTACATAAAACCTGCGCTCTAGTTGACATGTAATTGATATGTAGGAAGTTTTTGTAGTTTCATAGTCATGTATGTACGTACCTTCCGATTATAGTTTTGAAGAATATAACCTGAAAATATCATTATGAGTTTGTTTGCAATTTTCATCATTTCAGGGTAGGAACCCCGTTCGTGTGTCGCATTATGTGTGATGCAAAGTGTTCCTAAAAAAGTGCATGTCAGTTATACCATTCATTGAGACGCTTACACTCTATCTTTTAACATCAAAATCATCTGAAGACGATGAGTATTTTGCTACTGTGTTGACTCAGCTGACCCCACCACGGCCTGCAACTTCATTAGGGCTTCCTACAGCAAGGCAGCTTGAAGGAGATTGACAAGGCCAGCTTGAAGGAGATGGACAAGGCCAGCTTGAAGGAGATTGACAAGGCCAGCTTGAAGCAGATCGACAAGGCCATGCAGCTGCTGGCAGAGCTGATACGAGAGGAGCAAGTATTGTTGCGAAGGAAACTGGACAGTATAGATGATGATATTATAATCAAGTAGTAGTTAGCCTGCGTAGAAGCCAGGAAAAACACCATGAATGCTGGAAAGCCCATCGTTGAATGACGCTATCTGCAAAATGAATCGTTCTTGATTCCACAAACAAACACATACTTATATCTGACAGTATTTTTGGATTTATGGAAGAAGTTATGATGAAAACCAAGATCAAACTCAAACTACCCACCTATTCAAATGGGGCAGTGAAGTTTTTTTGGGTTGCCATATCCTTTCATGAGAAGCGGGTCTGGTATATGGGTATATCTTATATTACATTCAATCTCATATTCTGAGATTTGCAAAATTACATTCACGTAAAATTTTTTGCTTGAAAATACAGTATATGATAATTCTCCTACCTCGAAATTATTAAACATCGAAATTATCAGCTTGGTATTGTGAAAATATACACCATGTAGAGATGGTGGTAGTCAAAGACTGCAAAGGAAGATGTTCTTCCACAATTATGTGTCACTATTTGGAAATCTATTTTTTTTCACTTTACTAATAGACACTGTGTAGTATGATAGTTTGTACATAAAACCTGCGCTCTAGTTGACATGTAATTGATAAGTAGGAAGTTTTTGTAGATTTTTAGTCATGTATGTACCTACCTACTGATTATAGTTTTGAAGAATATAACCTAAAAATATCAATATGAGTTTTGTTTGCGGAAAAGTGTTAGTTATACTGTTTATTGAGACGTTTACACTCTATCTAACATCAAAATCATTTGAAGAAGATGGGTATATGGCTTTATTGTGTTGACTTGGCTGACCCCACCACGGTTTGCAACTTCATGAGGGATTCCTACAGCAAGGCCAGCTTGAAGGAGACATTGACAAGGCCAGCTTGAAGCAGATCGACAAGGCCATGCAGCAGCTGGCTGAGCTGAGACGAGAGGAGCAAGTATTGTTGCGAAGGAAACTGGACAGTATAGATGATGATATTATAATCAAGTAGTAGTCAGCCTGCGTAAAAGCCAGGAAAAACACCATGAATGCTGGAAAGATCATCGTTGAATGATGCTATCTGCAAAATGAATCGTTCTTGATTCCACAAACAAACACATACATACTTATATCTGACAGTATTTTTGGATTTATGGAAGAAGTTATGATGAAGACCAAGATCAAACTTAAACTCACCTATTCAAATGGAGCAGTAAAGCTGTTTTGGGGTACCATATCCTTTCATAAGAAGCGGGTCTGGTATATGGATATATCTTATATTACATCTCATCATATTCTGAGATTTGCACAATTACATTCACGTACAATTTTTTGCTAGAAAATACCCTACCTCGAAATTATTAAACATCAAAATTATCAGTTTGGTATTGTAAAAATATACACCATGTAGAGGTGGTGGTAGTACAAGACTGCAAAGGAAGATGTTCTTCCACAATTATGTGTCTCTATTTGAAAATCCATTTCTTTCAATTTACTCACAAATAGACACTGTCATAAGATGTGTAGTATGATAGTTTGTACATAAAACCTGCGCTCTAGTTGACATGTAATTGATATGTAGGAAGTTTTTGTAGATTTTTAGTCATGTATGTACCTACCTACCGATTATAGTTTCAAAGAATATAACCTGAAAATATCAATATGAGTATCTTTTGACATCAAAAACATTAGAAGATGGGTATATGGCTACTGTGTTAACTTGACTGCCCCCACCAAGGCCTGCAACTTCGTGAGAGCTTCCTACAGCAACGAAAGCTTGAAGCAGATCGACAAGGGGACAAGGCCAAGACGCTGCTAGTTGAGCTGATACGAAAGGAACAGGTTTTGTTGCGGAGGAAGCTGGACAGTATAGATGATGATATAATAATCAAGTTGTAGTTAGCCTGTGAAGAAACTAGGAAAAACATCATGAATGCTGGAAATCTCATCGTTGAATGACGCAATCGGCAAAACGAATCGTTCTTGATTCAACAGACACCATACCTACTTATATCTGACAGTATTTCTGGATTCATGGGAAAATGGTTTGAAAGAATAAAGATCGAGAATATTGATATGAGTTTTGTTTGCTATTCTCATACTTTCAGGGTAGCAACCTCGGTCGTGTATTAAATCACGTGTGTGCTAACAATAATTAGCATTAACTGAACATTAAGTACTGTAAATCTTAGGGTAAGGAGAATGTAGTATGAGACCAACGATAATCAATGTGTATACATCGATAGTAAGTATCAATATAATGATAATTCAGTATTATAATCATCCATTCATCATGTAGACCTAACAATAACGATCACGTGAGCGTGCGGTAATATTGCAACAACACAGTGTGCTTTATCATCCTTTCATAGACGGTCGTAGGAAAAAAAAATTGTTTCATCACACTTCCGGTCCAACCGCAACTTACCCCAACTTTTGATCAGGACACCATGTATAATTTTTTCTATTCAAATTCAAGGGGATCGTGCTACACACACTAGAAACGTTTTTGATCGAAATGTCGAAATTAATAGGGTGTCGTATTTGAAAATTATAAGGTGGGGTACAAATAATATGTTCTGTCAATAGAAGCCAATTTGGTATACTTACTTGCTACCCATAAGCAAATTTCAAAATCCAACTTCAAATGATTCAAAAGTTTCAGCCTGGCGTTTTTTTTGTGCATTTATCTCTGTATAAATATGGATATACCTGTACTTGTAACTATTACGATTGTAGATTGAAGGAATATACACTGAATATATAAAAATTAGTTCTGTTTGCCATTTTCATACTTTCAGGGTGGAAACTATAAACGTCGTTTGACATATCACATATACATATAACGTGGTATCATTCATATAATCTCAACTGGTGACATCAATTTCCAGTTGATAAAAGTATACCTATTCACAGTGTTGTATATTATCATAGATCTAAATTATTATCTACTATATAGTTTATGAAATACATATAGGTTAGATAATCACAATCTCGAAAAAATTGCGAAAACTATCTGCGATTGTGTAACAGGTTAATGTACCTATACTCATTAGATTGAACTTTATCATCTAATGAATGAATTTTGCAATGAAATTCTACGAAACTATTATCAATCAGATGTCTTTCACGTGATACTTATCATGAAAAATATAGGCTTTCTTCACTCAATTCAGTATGGTATATCCAAAACATTTTTTTTCTCTTCCTATGTTAAAATATTCATTACTGAGAGTCAAATGAACTCGACAAGCCCATCCCGGCACTCCGCAAATCCTTCTGTAGTCAACAAGAGGTATGTGGTATACCTAGTAATTCTCTACCAAAACTCGTTCATTGTGTATTGAACCGCTATAAGTTATGGTATTCTATGTCATTGAGAATATCCTGAAGAAAATGCTCTCCAAACGTTAGAAATATAATTCAATACCAACCTATATCTCCTCTTTCTATTCGATGGGTATAGGTACACACGATATTCCACGGACATAATACGGATCCCCTTTCGTGCTATCGTATAATAATTATATAATTTTTGGGTATAAAAAAGGGTTCTTATCAATTTCTGAAAAACTCCTAATTATGTAGGATTTTCTTGAAAGTTGGTAGATTTGCTGGAAATAATAAATGACGTCTTATGTTGACGAAATTTATCATTACAGTGACGTCCAAGAGGGCACAGGCTGATGATATCGATATGAAAAATATACCACGTCACTGTTTTTTTTTCTCAGTAGAATATTAGTTTCAGATTCAAAAATACAACTTTGTTTTTGTTGAATTGTTCTTCTTTGCTTTTTTTCGAGAAAACAAATGAATATTTCTCTAGCCAAGTAACTATTAATGAATTAAGTTTATTTATTAGTCGTTTGCCCAAATGTTCGTGTCAAAACTGGGTGAAAAATTCAATGAACTGTATCCCCATTGAAATTATTTTTTTGTAAAGGGTCTGTTTAAAAAGTATATTTTTACAAACGAATAGTTATTCGTTCTACTAGGCAGCAAGGTAGTAGATTGACTGCTGCGGCTGATAATTCATAGCTGAGCGTAGCGAGGCTAGGAATTCAGCCGAGACAGTCAATCTATACATTTGCTGCCGTGTGAAATCCAAATGTTATGGAACCAATTTCGTGTAATTTTTTATTGAAAACTCCATCATTTTGTGTCCACCCAATGTCAGTGTCAATTTTGATTATCAATTTCATTAAAATTTTATTACTTGGAACGTTGCATAGTAACAAACTGTTCCTACCTAACCAGAGAAAGTATACTTTTCCTGCCTGTTCAGTGTCAAAGAAAAGCCGCTGGCTGGCCATTTCTTATTTTCTGCAAGAGAAGTTAGAAAATTACCTTCCATTCGTTTTGTTCACAGTGAACTTTAGTGTATGGATTTCATTCTGCCATCTATGATCGAAGACCTCACACTCTAATTTCAGTACACTCAATTGATTACAGAAAGCTTTTGGTAACTGAAGTTACGTTCAGCTTTTGCCACGTAGGTGTCACTATATGAATAGTTCATGTCATTGATACATCCAAATCAAAAATACCGAAATAATATATTGGTAGAGTAGAATAGTACTATGTATGAATTTTTTCAGAAGAATTTCGCTAAAACTTTTTCTCAAATGTATCTTTGCCCTATTCACAGTTGCAACTGTGAATTAGACAGATTCGTGAAAAAGTTATTTCACATGATTATGTGCCTATATAATATATAATATAACTAATTATTTCAAGTCAATATACACTCAGTGCCAAAAAAAGTGACGAACTTGATATTTGACCTATCTTTTAAACAAAAAAACAAAAAATAGTAGGTCAATTTTTATTTTTTTTACTTGTTGGTAGGTAATAATGAATTTGTCTTAAAAAAAAATAAAGAGTTGAAGATTTTTTCAAAGCCTCCTTGATGGTGGTGGAATAACTCGTACCATGATTTATATTTAATTGTTGACTGACCCTGTGTGTTAATTGAGTAATGGGGTAATGGTATACAAAGTGCTTACACCCTATACGAAAGAGGCTTCTTTTGCGAGCATTCTGTTTTTTTATTCATTGATTTATCTCTAAATTTTTCCGAATTATAGTTTTTTTGCTGATACCTTACGCTTATCCCACAAATTAAATTTATTGAAGGATCAGAGTACTCAAAATTGATTGGGTTGTACTCTGGTAGGATCACATTGTCTTCAAAAAAACAAATGCCGTTGCCATAGCAACTAATTTTTTGTATGCCTCCATATTTGACCATTTGTCGTTGTGTCAATTATTAAGTGTCTTGTTTTATTGACTAAAATTACATAAAATGCCTCAAATAAATCCTGAACAAGTAGCAAGATTAGTTGCGTTAGTAAATGATGGGCGTAGTAAACGTTACGCCACTCGTGCAGTGGGAGTTCATGAAGCAAATGCTCGTAGAGCAATCCGCAAGTACGAACAAACAGGAAGCACCGGTCGGAAGGTCGGTTCTGGTCGCCCCCGAAAAACTTCTCCAAGATATGATCGCTTCTTGAGATTGCGGATTTTACGGAATCGATGAAATACTGCGGTAAATGTTCAGCAAGATCTACTCCAAATTCGTGATGTTGCAGTAAGTAAGCAGACGATATGTAGACGTCTAAAAGAAGTTAATTCAAAAGCTAGGAGACCTGCAAAAGGTCCCAAATTATTGCCTACACATCGTGCTGCTAGAAGAAATTTTGTTGAAAATTATAGACAGTGGAATATTCCTGAATGGTCGAATGTCTTGTTTACGGATGAGTGTATGGTTTGCCTCAACATGGTGGATGGAAGAAAAAGAGTGTGGAGAAGAAGTGGTGAACGGTTTAATCAAAATTTAATAACAAAATGCGAAAGTTTTAATGGTGGGTCCGTTATGGTGTGGGGAGGGATTTCAATGAATGGAAAGACATCCCTTCATGTTTTTCCGGTGAGGCAGTCGATGAATGCCCAAATTTATATTGACATCTTAGAGCAGTATGTCTTACTTCATGCAGAGTTAGTGGGCAATAATTTTATATTGATGCAGGATAATGCCCGACCACACACCGCGGCAATAATGCGAAACTTCTTAGAAGCTACTGGTATTACCACATTACAATGGCCTGCGAGAAACCCCGATATGAATCCTATAGAACATTTGTGGGATGAATTAGGGAGAAGGGTACGTTCTCGCGAGAGGTCTCCGGAAAGTCTCGCAGAAATGGCAGATGCATTAGTGGAAGAATGGGATCGTATACCAATGGAAACGATAAGCAACTTAATTTCCAGTATCCCTCGTAGATTAGAAGTTCTTAGAGTTGCTAGAGTAGGCAATACACGGTATTAAGCAGTCATCCCAATTTATAATTTTGTGTTTAATAAAAAAAATTATTGGTATCAGTTTATTTCATTAGAAAATTGTTTCTCGATAAATTCAGAAAGTTGGTAATCTTTTTTTTAAGGATTCAGCAAAAAGAGATGTAATTAGGGATATTTTAAAAATAAATCAATGAATAAAAAACAAAATGCTCGCGAAAGAAGCCTCTTTCGTATAGGGTGCAAGCACTTTGTATACCATTACTCAATTAACACACAGGATGAGTCAAAAATTAAGAATAAATCATGGTTCGAGTTAATCCACCACCATCAAGGAGGCTTTGAAAAAAT